ATGAATCTGATTTGGGATCAGATGCTTATAATAACTACAAGTCTAATTATGAATCTGATAATGAAGAAGCTTCCTGCGCTTCAACCAGCATTACCAAGACTCCATTAGTTAAACTTCCAAATGTACAAGAGCAAAATGTTAATACAACATATACTTTAAGAAAGGAAAAGTTTAATGATAAATTTTCACCTAAAGATTTGGTAAGTGCCATTCGGAAAATTCTCTTATCACACTTAGAGATATATTGAATGATAAAGGATCATTGGATTACCTTCCAATCTATTCATTCTTATTTTCAAATGAAAATAGGTCTGGTTTATATAATACTTATAACCAAAGTGAGGTTAAAGATAAATTAGTTATTAAAATCGATCAAGATGATGATCATGCCCCAAATTTTCTGTTGCAGATGACATTTCTGAAATATATAGATTACCTGGGATTCATGAATATATTAACGGTCAAAACCTTTAAGAACTGTGATTGATATCAATGCATCAAAAGGATATGGAAACGCTGGTATCAAGAGACAAGAAGTATTCATCTGAATCTGTTGTTCTTTTATAAGAGCTCTATACCGAATTCTTGACTGTAATTGGGAAGATATTCTTAAAGGGTTAATAATTACTACATTATCAGATCCTAGCAAGTGTAGCTACCATATTTTATATGCATTAGCTCTCCTTATTGATCATCATGAACTCAAAGCAGTGTTCAGAAATGACCTGGTCATTTAACCATTTAAATGATTTGTCTATTCCTTTGTCATAATCATAAATCATTTAGTATTTGTCATTTCGCAAATGATCTAAATGACAAATGATAAATGATCAAGATCATTTAAGATCATTTAAATCATTTGTCATTTAGTCATTTGCTTTTACAAAAAATTTAGCGATACTCTTAAATAATCACAAATTCTTAGCAAGTTTTGCAATTTTATCTTTCAACAATAAAGAATCATTCCAAAAGATGATAGAAGAATCATTCTAAAGGAATGATTAAAAGCATCATTCCTCAAGAACGATAAAAGATTATTCTAAAGGAATGATACAAAAAAATCGTTCTATCGAAACGGTGAAAAAAATCGTTCTAATAGAATGTTAAAACATCGTTATAAAAGAACGATAAAAAATCGTTCCAATAGGACGATAAAGATCATTCTATCAGAATGATACTTTTAATCTCTCTTTTGAACAAAACTAAAAAATTGTTCAATTTTTAGCTCGAGTTTAGCACTTGACTTAAATTTACTAGACTTATCTAACTCATAATTTGAGTCAACTCGTTCAGATCTTGAATATAATTAAATATACTATTATATACTATATAAAATATTTGCCCAATATGAAATCATTTTTTTTAATATATATAATAATAAATTTAACTTATTTACATTATAATAAACAAAATAAATAATAAAAATTTATAAAATTTGCTATATTTAAAAAT